CTCGCTTAATATGCATTTTTTCCTAATTTTGGCAACGTACGTAATTAGAGGAACTCTTCAGCTTTCAAACAAGCTAAAGTAAACCAAAATCGGTCCATTAGTACGGAAACGCCAATTGTTTTAGTCAAACTTGCTTTACTGAGAAGTTTGGAAATGGCGTTTAGCGCCTTTTCGCATAAATACGTCCAAATATACATAATTTGAGATAGTTTTCACACAAAACTTGTTGTTTGAAAGACAAACCTTTTCCAGAAATAAAAAAAATGACTTAGCAATTTTTCCCTGACACTTCCGTAATGATCCCTAACATTTCCAGATTTTCCCTGACAGTGGCAACCTTATCCAAAGACTTGAGGTCCCCTCTCTGAAGGATGTTAATGGCGAAAATTCCAAATAACAAAGCTCAGCCTACAATGTTGCAAAGTTCCTACCATATTGTACTGTTTGCAAAATTAACTGAACTGCTTGCAACTACATAATGATTCTTTGCAATACTTGGTTTTTCATTGAAAACTCAAATTCTGAATTGATTAATCAACACTCCGTTCGACTTTTCTTCTCTCTTTCAACAATATTTTTTAAAATTTTCCATGAAAAAAATGGAGTTCAAGCAAAAATAATCAAACACCATAATCAAAATCCGCCGTCTGTCAGTTTTACCACTCACATTGTGTACTGATTAATTGTGTGTGGCAGATGAATGGTTTGACATTTAAGAATATTGTTTTCCAGCCTCATACATTTACCAACAATCACAACTCGCGACTAAGAGATTTTAATGTTTCTGATCTAACTGCAACATAGATCATTCCGACTCTTCCTCTTAAATACCCTATCTACCAAAAATAGAAGAGTCAAGATTTGAACTCCTGAACATTGTTTCAAGCACTGTAATAATTGGCGACTAGAAAGTTAAATTATCTGGTTTCAGGATGTAAATGAACTTAAATAAGAAAACATTATCAAAAAGAAAGGAAAAGAAATAAGAACATTCATGAAAAAGTGAAGACATTTATTGATCAGAAAAGGAACAAATTATTTTCATGATTAAAAAAATACAGCTGCAGGAAAAATCAGCAATGGTATAAAACTACACGCTACAGAGACCTCATGAGGAATGGGGGAAATAATACGTTTACTTCTTTCACAGTTTTGAGTCTTATACAGAGTTGATACTTGATTTTCAAAATTTCTGGGTCAAGAATAGGGTTGTTAAATTAATAAAGTGCAAGTTTTATTGCTTCTTAGTAGTAAGCACTAATTTTAAATGACTTTTGAACAATAGCAACGTACTTTAGAGAAATATCCGTCCAGTCTTAGGAATTTATCAGAAATAATAATGAACTATTTACACTTCTTCACGTGTTAATATAATATCCGGTGTAACCAATTTTTTCAAATGTTAAAAAGACCCATTGTGTGTTTCATCATCTGTGCAAAACTTACAATCAGCATAGAGAGTAAAAGTACAAAAATCCTATTCAGCATTACAGGGATGGTTTAAAAATAAATTGAAAATGATGGTTTTGCGGAACGACTCAACTGATAAAGAATGTGTGCAAGGGATCATTTCAAATCCTCAACCATGGAACACCATTAAAATAAACCTTGTCACATGCAAAGGCGAATATTGTGATGAAAATGAGTCCTGTCCTTTTGAAAGGAAAAGGATTATACGTAAATTGAATTGGATCAGAGAATAAAAGCTTATAAAGACAATACCCCCAACAGGAAAGTGAAAAAATTACAGATAATTGACAAAATACTGATCTATTTGTTAGATTTCTTTTGTGAAACCTTGTCAGCAAAAATTCTTGTTTACTTTTTGAAACATTAAATTTACATTCATTCATTAAAAATATGCATCTAGCACAAGTTAAATGCAAAAAAAGCCACCATTATGCAATGCAGCTTTGATTAAAAACTATTCAATTAGAGAAGGCTTTTTGAACCCTTGACCAACATAATATGTGCTTTTAATGTCAGAAGAAATTTTACAGGTAAGAAACAGGGACATAGATCTAAAAGATGACAGTGTGAAAAAAAAGTATTTTACAAGGTACACATTAAAGTTTATAATAAAATGAATTGGAAGCTTGCTACTGTTTCGTACACCTAAAACAGCTGAAAGTGAATGAAGAGTACGGATATTATTTTTTAGCTGATTCACACATTTAAGGGAGATGGGATAAAAGACAACCTTACAAAACCATATTTTTACAGTTTTTAAAAACATTAATTGAATTTACCTTAAATATCAATCATAATTTATTTGAAAATACTGCAGTCAGAGAGCTTAAATTAAAATAAAAAATTTGACTGTATCGACCCTTCCTATCTAAAAAGACATGGGTGCATGTTTTTCATTTCCTAATTTCACTTACACCTATATTTACAGAGAAACAGTTACAATTTGATAATCTAGTTAAATAATTTAATGAATGCATGATTAACATCGATTCTGAAAGACAATAATTAGAACTAGTGTATGAGGAATTATTTAAAGAAAGTGGAGAATCTCAGAGCTTGTCCACTGGGTGATATAATTAAGCTGAATTGGATCCAACTTCTTTCATTTCTGCATCGGTGGAAACGGGTTCACTCTTTGACTCACCTTCTTTTTTCTCGGTTTCAGTGACCTCAGGGGCTGCTTTTTTAATTTTACACTCAGACCCTTCAGCCTCTTCCTCAGGTTTCCGCTTCTTTCGGATGAGATGCGAGATATCCATTGCGGGTTTGCAGGATGAGGAAGAGGAACTTTCACCTTCTTTTGCTTTACTGGGAATTATAGAAGCACTAATGGCTCTCAGGGTTTCTGCTTTGAAATCTTCCATGTCAGCTATTTTCTCATCTATCTCCGGGATGATGCTCTCAATTTCCTTGATCTCCCCATCCAGGCTGTAAAATGCGTTCACTTTATCCTTCTCGTCTGGTTCCGTCTTGCCCTTCAAGTTCTTGATCCTTAATTGAAGCACTTCTTTGGCTTTCTTGAAGTACGAAATAGATCTATCATGGAAATTAGCTAGAGAACACGCAACTCCCAATTGAAAGTATGTTTCAGCCACTCCTCTGTCGTCTGCGCTCAAGATTTTTTGCTGCAGATCCAAGCTCTTGGACATATCTTCAATTGCTTGTTCATAATTTTCTGTCTCTAAACTAACCTCACCCAATTTTAAAAGTGTATCCGCTAGTTTTTCATCTGATTTCTGCCTTTCATAAATAGTTTTGGCTAGCTCGAGCATTTCCCAAGCAATCTGGAGGTTTGTAGCGTCTTCTTCTACTTCTTTCTCTACATCTTCACCTTCAGCTCCGCCTTCCTTGGCACTCTCACCATTCTCAACAGTTTCCTTGCTGGTTCCTTCTTTTCCTTCTTCTGGCTTTTCTTCAGCATCCTTTTTGGCATCAGCACTGGTGTCCATTTCAGCATCATTTTTGGTGTCTTTGCTGGCATCTTTTCCATCCTTTTCAGCATCCTTCTCGCTGTCCTCTTCATCTCCTTCAGCCCCATCTTCTTCCTCTTCTTCTTCATCCTCCCCACTTTCCTCCTTGTCTTTCTCAATGGCTGGCCCTAGTACACCACTCTCTTCTCTGGCAAGTTCCAGCAATGCCTTCCCGTAGCTGAAATAAACATCACCGCATTCGTCCGCAAGTTCACCAAATATTTCTGAGAACTTGGCACAGCAGTCACCCAATGTTGCTACAGCAGATGCGTAGTCCTTTACTAAATAGTGACGCTTACCTTGAGCTAGAAGGATATAAGCCTCATTTTTTGTAGGCGATTCATGATACTTTTCTTCGACTTTCTTCTCAGATTCTTCAGTGCCATTTACTTCCTTAGCATCACCGTTAGCCTCTTTACCATTTGTAGACTCGGAGCTGATCTTCTCGCCATTTGTAGACTCAGACTTTTCATCAGCCACTGATTCAGCACCATTGCTTTTAATTTCTGCAGCTGGAGTTTCAATTTTACTTTTGAGTTCACATTTCAAGTCCTTGTCAGTCTCCGTGGGGGGTACTGTGGCTGTTTCTTGAACTTTGGTTGGGGAAGCTTCCTCTTTCGCCATGGCAATCTGAAACAAACAAAACAAGATTACGATTAATATGCTTCCGGGCGTATAACATGAAAAAAATCAGTTTTGGCGAGGCGGATAAAGTTGTCAGCCTGTACTGTGAAAAACGTGTTTTCAAAGGAAATTTATGCGACAAAATCCTAAAAAACTATACATAGGGTAGGAGATCGTAGGATTTTAATACCAATTCACGCCCTCTTTTGGCACATAAAAAAGAATCTAAAATGCTTGCAACTTTTTTCTAAGCACTCAATTGCAAGTTTATCATTGAGATTTCAGGATCTGTTTTCCGGCCCAACATTAAAAAATTCCCGCTGCTTAAAATTTCACCTCCCTGGACTAGGGCGGTCCTTTATTCTCTTGTGGACGATCACATACAAGGATCATAAAACCAAGGATGCCAACTTTCGTTCCGCTGGAAAGTGAGATTTCATTTTCCATGTAATTTCAACGATTTTTCGGGGGCTGCGTATCCAACCCGCGATAATTTCCGAGATTTCAGTCGGAAACATCAAACTTTTAAAGACTCACATACCCCCCCCCCCCCCCTCCGTTTTTCCGAAAATAAGACTTAACTATTTCTATGCGCTTCATGGCAGACCGAGTCCATTGCGAAAATTTCATTCCTGAAGGAATATTCATGAGATTTTCCATGTCTGTATTAGAGTTCAGAGCGGAGAGAAAAGAAACTCCCGGCTATTCACATCAATTCCCTGATTATCCTTGATATTACCCGTTCCCTGATAAATCCGGGTGATTCCCGGGTTTTCAAGATCACGGACACCATCTTTACGTAAATCTCGCAAAACCGCCAATACCTAAAAATCTGGCCTCTACTCGGAGATGGTGTGATCAACTCGATCTTGGCAACACGCAGCAAACCAGAACCACAGACACCTCACTAATGCACCGGGCTCGGCCTCTGATTGGAGGGTGGGGAGATGGTGGTAGGGAAACTCCATGAACAACTTCGAAGCGCGCGAGCACAAAACAAAAGCTTCGTTCCAGAAAACCCCGTCGGGGGGACGAGGAGGGGGGAGCCCATAAGTTGGGTTTCAGCGTGCGCCGGCCGGGAACGGTGCGGCTTGGCGCCAGTCTGCCGGGGGCCCGATACACGGGTTGCATAAGGATCGCGGCGCAACGCTCCAGTCACACGCTCGCACCGCGACCGAGAGGACTCGGCCCGCGCCTCGTAGTTCCGCCGCCGAACCGCTGGAGTGCGCAAAGAGGATACGCGGGACGCACGGATCGCGGTCGCTCCGGAGAAACGAATTCGCCGAGAGATTTCGCTTTAAGATCGTCGGAGAAACTTGCGGACTTGGATTTTCGAGGGTTATCGAGACTTAGCAGGTTAATATTGAGATCAGACTTCATCCAATGTCAGGGTGGATCGCCGCATTTAAACGGAGAAAAATTTAGACTGCACTTAATTTCAAAAACATTCTGCACTCATTTCGTAAGGAGGTCCGCGGACAAGAACTGAGTCAAGGAGAATGCTGAATGTATCGGTGAAAAATCAACATTTTGGCAACATACTTAGGGTGGATGATTGATTATTAAATCTGTTGAAAAAGAGATCGGGGTGGATACCTAAATATTAACGGCGACTGCACCTTTGAGTTAATGACCTGGCGAGCATTTGCACTACATAATGACTCATGTATCATAGAAAAACTGCTATGGGAAGAAGCTCAATTGCTAAAATTTACGTACATTCGATTTGCATACAGTATCCAACCATTTTAAATCTCACTCTGAGGAGCCAAAAAGGAGACATGACAAAATATAAAAATTGACAGGGTATGGTAACGTACTTCACGCGGATAACTGTGCAAAGTCGAGAAAAAATGTAGATAAAAAAATCAGTGCTCAAAATATTCCAGGCTGAGTACACACGATATTTTATTTTATACGGATTTGGGTATTTGTGTTTCATGCTGTGTACACACGTCTTTCATGTAGTCGAATTCTTCGCATGTGGCATTGATGCATCATTAGAGGGAGCGAAAAAAGCAAAACATCGGAAGATCGAGTAAACTGATTTGACGTTCGGTAGAGAGGAATCAGGTTTTTTGGAAAACAGCCTCATGGTCAAACTTGTTGTCCCGCGAAGAACCAAGTTTTTAAGGATCTTTTGAATTATCTCTGAATTATATTTGGAATAAAGATAGTTTTTTTAGAGCTACAATAACTGTTTTTTCACTTTTTATTGCCGGGATAAAACCAATTGTTAATAATTCTTCTGCTTTTAATTAAGTAACTTTTCGCGACCCCGACAAGATAATTCTCAGAAAAAACGCCAAAACCTATCAGGGTTTTCACCGTAAACGATGGAGATATGAGGTTTAAATTTAAATCCACGCTCGGTAGTCCAATTCTCTTTGGTAACGTAGAAAAACTATATCCTTACGCATTTTTGTCGGCTATTGCCGAAGTACATTATGTAGGCGGAGTGGCGTTTATCATTGAACTTCGACGAAGTTCACCCCCGGGGGGGGGGGGGGGGGGGGGCTTTCGTCAAAAAAATTTACGCAATCTACGATCAAAAATCACAGCGAATTAGAAAAACTTGAAAAAGTCTACTGGTCTTTAAGCGATAGAAGTGTAGAAAATCCTCCACTAATTTCAATCAACTAAGATGGGAAGCATTCCGTCACCCAAAGTCGCATTATCTGATGGAAAGACAACAATTCCAAATTGACACTTAAATTTTGATAAAATGGCCAGAATCATCAACATTTGAGCGATTTCGCTTCACTTTTACGCAATAAAATTTTAATTTATCGTAATGTTTTCGCCGATTATACCGTAAAAAATCGGCATCGACTAAAGAGCGATTTCATCGTAGTACATTCCAATAAGGAGAGTAAAGTTTGAAAAACTGGCAAGCACCATTGCTAGGATTGTGCAGTCTGTTTCTCGCATCGAATAATATTGATTTCCTTCGCTAGACAAACTTAACATTGAGAAATTTTTCCTAAATTTTTGACATATTTTCATGATAAGAATTATTATTCTCGAGCCTCTGTAGACCTCTCAAGTAAAGAAAGCGGTTGCACGAATAAAGCGCGTTTAATGACGCTTAACATGTTTTATAGGGACCACAACGCAGGGTAAGAATTTTAGCACCACAGGACATGCTTTTCACCGATGTGGTTTGTTTGTTTGTTTTTTTTGTTGTTTTTTTTTGTTTTTTTGGTTTTTTTGTTTTTTTTGTTTTTTTGTTTTTTTTTGTTTTTTTTTTAACATCGGATATTTTAACGTGTTAGAAGAAATACGCATTCTTCGACTTCGATTGATACATAATACATTTTGCTTTCTCGGAAAAATATCGATAGATTTAAGAGGGCTCGCATTGATTTACGTAATAAAATGGGCAGTGAAAAACTTGCAACGTCGCAGAATGAGTTATGAATGTTTTTTACCTTACCGTCGGTGATGGGAAAATGTGTCCCTGCGCACGCACCACAGTGTAACTTTAGCGGAAATCGCGATCTCCTACCATCAAGTCGAAGCTAAACTCTTGAAGGCGCTCCACGCAACTATTCCGCCACAGAAGTATTGCATGGTATCGGACGAAAATGAAGGCGCACTAACGTACGCTAATTGACTGGTACCGTTGCTCAAAGTGTAGAACCTACTGATCCTACGATATGCGGCCCCTGTACGATCGATTTATGTAAAACTTGGTACCAGTCGGCATTTTTTGGCGGGGAATCTGAATTTCAACTCAAATTTTCGAAATCCGAAAATCCAAAAAAGCGGAAATGGCCTGACATACTATTTCGGCGCCTTCGAAATTATCGAACCTAGCGATTGAGATATCTATTCTTTCTCCGTTCCAAATCAATGTACTCTTAGATAATTTAAACCTAACCTAAACCTAACCCAATTTTGTACTTTTAGGTAATTTTTATCGATGCTCTCTTCAAATTAGTTTACTCATTCCTTTTTTATTTGTTTATTCGATCATTCAGAGGGATACAATCAAAGTTCATATTGGAGTTTCATAAAAGTGAAGTTCGTGGTGAGATACGGGGATGGGTCCTAATTTGCTGCACTCACGGTGTCTAGAACTCTAAAAGAACAATCCCTGAAAAAAACGGCCGAAAAACCGGAACAAAATTCAAAATTCTCTGATAGACGGAAAAAATAATTCCCTGACATTTCTTTGACACAAGGGAAAAAATTCCTCATTTTTCGACACGTTTGAAATGATTAGACGTGCGTAAGAATTTTTATTTATAATAAATAGAGCAAAATACATGACGTATAAACTTGTCTGAGATGTTTCTGTCTCATTTTTAAACTTTAAAGACATCTGCAGATATCTGGTAGAAATTTCAGCAAGAGAAAAATTCGCCGAACATTTGCCGGAAAATCTGTGTTTTTCGCTTTCCTTGACACGGAAATCGCTTGCAAAATAAGAAAATTCCCTGACGTGTCGAATTCTTTCAGATTCCGCGGCGTTTTCCCTGATTTCTCTGACACTAAAAAAAATTCCCGTTTCTCCGTTCTCCCGGTCGCTAGACACCCTGTACTTCTAAATCATCAGCACGTAACAAATTGCAACTTCTGCAATCTGTTTTTATCCTAACAACTCCGAAAAACTTCAGATGGTTGTACTGATCAGATAAGATCCTCCAGTGGTCATACTCTCCCTATGAAGGTATGTACTGTGCCTAATCCTGCCACACCACATACCAAACACCAGGATATATTAAAAGGAGCATGAGTGCCCCATTCGCGTTCGGTTCCGAATGGAAGCGACTCAGCCACTCATTTGGACGTATCTCTGCCAAACGGAACTATATGCATTATGACGTGATCCCTGTTGTGCTTATATGCTTTAGGGTATCAGGGCTCACGTCATAATGCACATAGTTCCGTTTGGCAGAGATACGTCCATTCATGCATTCCTCGATTCAAATGTCCGATTTTCCGCGGTCTCCAAGCAGTAGAGCAACAATGCTGGCTTAAAAGGGACTGGGTCATGATTTACGGAATTTTAGCAGCAGTTACGGCGTCCGGTGATGCCGGCTCGGAGCATAATATCAGGGATTCCCGGCTAGATTCCGACAGGAAATCTGCCGATTCGGCAACGGTGCCGGGGGGCCGTTAACACTATTTCAGGCTTCAAACGACCATATTTTACGGCTGGAAACAGAGAGCTCCGGCTCCTGCTCGTCATTTTTCAGCCGTTTCAGCCGTTACGATTTTGCCGTTCTTCGCGTCGGATTCACCTGCTTTCCGCTGCTTTTCCGGGGAGAATCGAGGGCCCTGCGAAAAATGGCGACGCTGCAACTATTGGCGATTCCTCCTCAGCTGTGCAGTTTTTCATTCGTCCTTTGCCCGTTCGCTGATGCGAGGCTGGAGGAAAAACCGGCTCGGATGCCGGCGGAGACTAAATGTATTTGACAAATGGTTTGAGGATATTAAGTAGGTAAATCTATAAGTAGCCTCCTGTGAGGGAAAACATGTGATGAAATCCAAGAGCAAAATTGTGGGGCGATTATTTTTGGGTGTCCAAGAGCGTTACGAAATTTATTATTTATTTTTTGATTTTTAATTAAATTGAAAGCTGCCTTATCTCAATGTTCCCTGACTTATCGAAAACATATCACCCAGGTTAAAATTGTCAGGAGGACAAAAGGAGGTTAAAATTGTCTGAAATTTTTAAAATTCCCTGTTTAAAATGAAACTGTTAAAAAAAACTGAGCACGAAGATATCCTTGGTTTCTAAATTGAACAGTTATTGGAGGAAATATGACGGAATAACCTACTTGGCAAAACTACATGAATTTAAATGGATGACGTCACAAGGCGGCACATTTCCTCACTTATAAATCTATTTTTCTTCAATTTCTCATTTCATAAAAAAATTATGAAAAATACTGCGAACCCAGCTCATTAAGAACTTTCAGATGAAGCAATAACATTTTTGTGTGCAAATTCTCCATTATTGAAACTACCATGTGTACTATCCGCTACTTCATAATAATAAAAAAAGGTTATCATGACGTTGCGTAGAGGATTTTTTTGTTTCTAAATCGATTAAATCGCATCGTTTAAATTGGGTTCGATTAGTCGTGTAGATCAACTTTTTCCCTCAAAATCCAAAATTCCAATCTTTGCTACCCGAATGTATATGAAATCTGAGCGTGAGCCGATTTTGGGACCAAATATTGCGGCGAACCTCCCGGAAAGTATTCATTCGAATTTTTTTTTTTTTTTTTTTTTTTTTTTTTTTTAAGAGAATGCGAATTTTGAGACTTCGTAATTTCCAATTTTTCGAGAAATCGATTGTTATGTTACGACTTAAATCGCAGGAAACGGAGTCTCAAGGAAAATCGAGTCGATTTTTTCGTAAAACCTCCGGACCCGAACCGAAACTATGATACATCAAGGACCGCAACTAACAAAATTACAAATTTAGTGAGCGATAATTTACATCCCATCGGACGAATTTAGGTAAGGGGGGAGTCAATAATAAATATATGAGGGGTTGTTAGAGATGGGAGAGCTCAGGTGCAAGGACAGCCCACGAATGGGAAGTAGTACCTTTAAATCAATCGAAACGTCATGCTCGGATATTCATCATCGCTCAATGAAGTTAGATTACCCATACTAACAACATCTAGGAGGACCGCGCGCCAGGGTCTTGAGCGCGGCAAAATACGCTAGAGAAGTACGGAACTCATGCGTAGAGTTCGCAGCGCGCTCTGCTGCTGAAAATCGCAACTAGTGCGGTCGTGGTGCTCTCCGCACAGTACGCAATATGTGCGGTTCAGTCCACTCACACGTACAGGGTCATGCATCCTGAAATTCCTCTATGGAGAATTGCCCCGGTTATTAACAGATTTACCACCATTGGATAAATTATTCGCTATAAATTTTATTTCCTAATGGCTAGGCAGGCAAATTTTTTAGCGAATTTTGATATTACCTTTATTTATTAATAAAACGTTAATTTTAAAGTAAATACTTCAATTAAAACTTTTCGCATTGATTAGAGTACCTGTATAGCGAGAGTATGGACAGATGTGAAACTCCGAAAATCCATCAGGCCTTCACCGATGCCTCCGTGAATGAAGTTAGGGCCCAGAAATGCAGCCAACCTATGAATTTCGAATGTCCAGAGCGATTTTTAAATACAATTGTTACGAACCGCCGTTTATAGAGCATGTATTTGGCTTACTTTTAGCATAAATTTACTTATTTTTGCAAAAGAACGTTCATTTATGTACATTCTTGGCCATCTTGGTTAGAATTGAACTCTGTAGGCTGGCAGTGAAATTTTGTGTGTTAGAAGTTGCTCAGAAGGGTGGCTGCACTTTTGGGCCCTAAGCCCTCCATCAAGCGATCTGTCCATACTCTCGCTATAAAAGTACTCTAGCATTGATCAATTTTCAATAGAGTTTTTTTTTCATTATTTAGTTTTTTCCCGTTATTGATTTCTGTTTATTTTTTTTTTGTTGTTTTTCTTTTCCTGAATTAATTGATTTAGGGCGAGAACCGAGTATTCCTGAATTCCTAAATTCCAAAATTCCCCGACTTTTTTTTTGACTTTTTGATGTACTTCGAGCATGATTTCTCATAAAAGTGCTTATCACAGAACAAGCTGTAAGCATGGACGTGCAGCATATAGCTGTAGCGATTACTCATACTTGAGCGCTTCTATTCCCACATTTTCAGACCCCCAAAAAATTATGGGGGGTGCTGGGGGGGGGGGGGGGTGTCAAAACCTGAGAACTTGATATCTTTCGAACAAAGAAAGATATTAAGGTCCGGTTTGGACGAAAAATCGTCAAAAATTGCATACCTTAAGATTCTAGCGCTGCCGGCGCCCGCTCAGTGGGCCTTCCAAGTAGCGCTACGGAAAAAGAGAGGATATTTGGTAGTATCTGTAATTTTTGAACTCAGCGACCCGCAAGAATCCCTGAAAATGTATTTTGCACGGTTTGAACATTTAATCTGATTTATTAACACCCAAATCCGGCTTTGGAACCATATTTTGGCGCGCAAAAATCGGTCGGCGGAAACTTCAATCGCTCATAACTCCGGAACCGTTTATTTCCCCAGCCTAATGGACCACTCGATGGATGCGGAAAAATATGAAGAATTTAAAAAACTGGTTTTGGTTCAAATAAAAAATTGAGTACTTGGTAAATTCTTTGTTTAAAGGAAATTTTCTCAATTCAAAAACTGAAAAAAGCAGATATGTTAACTTGAAAATGCGAATTCGGGATTTTGACCTTTAGAATCTTAAAGTATGCAATTTTATACGATTTTTCGTACGAACCGGACCTCGATATCTTTCTCCGTTCGAAAGATATTGAGGTTCACAGGTTTTGACTTCCACCCTCCCCCCTAGCGCCCCCTAAAATTTTTTTTTTGGGGGGGGGGGGNAAAATTTGGGAAAAGAAGCGCTCAAGTATGAGTAATCAATAGACAAAGTTTGAAGAAATTCCAAGGGGAGGGGGGGGGGCGAAAAAACCGTAATAATGCAACTTGCTCCATTATTATTCAGTAATACGTTCGACGTTGGGGGGAAAATAGAGGCTGGTATACGGTAGGTTAGGTATTCGTACCCCCCCTCCCCCTTCAACCCGCGGGTGCATCCGAGGAACGGAAACTTCCGGAAGCACTCGTTCCCTTGCAAAATTAATGATGCATCAGTCCCGCTTCGCTAACTTCTGGCTTTCTTTGGGCAGGATACCGAAAGTTCGCAGCCGAGAGGTGAACACAGCCTACAGCCCTTGGAATCAAGTCGAGACAGCGGGCGATTAACGATGTTGGCCTCTTCCCGCCGAGGAGGCTTCAAAGTGCAGCGATGAAGCTTAAGTGCGACCGACCCGAAGCGCGCAACAACTTTCGATATCCAGCAGCTGTACATGAACAAAAGACTTTCCGACTGTCAGTAAAGTGCGCGGCGACGGAGGACTTTCCCAAAAACGAGCGCCGTAAAATAGCGTTGAGCTGTCAGTTCACCTCACTTGACAGTTAAAGGTATTTCCCTGAATTCAGTGAAAGACTCGTCAAAAAGACAGCGACTGGTATTCGTGTGAAAGCAAGGCAAACGTTGCGACAGTTGTTTGAAAGTCAGTGTGATGGACAGTGACAGCCACTCGCTCGAAGGCAGGTGAGAGCTTGCACTGGCAAACATTCGCGTCAGTCTGTTCGGGAGTTGGTAAGGTGTGCAAAAGACAGATATCCACGTGGAAGTAGAGGGATGCCGTGGCAAGTAGCAAGGTGTGCGGTTGTGGAAATGAGAGAAACCGATAAAAAGACAGACTATAGGGCTGCCTATACGACCTGTTTCTTTCACTCGATCAAATAAGCGAGATGAAGCGTCCGGTTGATGCGGGGATGAGTTGTGAAGGAGGTCCCGTTGGTCAAGCACTCTGAGCCCGGAGGGTCAACTTCAGCTTACGATCGTGAACCTCCAGTTGCCAAGATTCCCGTCCGTCATTCGCGGTCAACTCCCGACGGTTAAGACTTCGGTCGATCGGTCATCGTCAACTTCCTCTTTCGCTCTTCCATTTCCAGGCATCGAGCAACAAACTTCACGATCGATCGCTGCTTTTGATCGTCTTCTTCGGGTCATCGTGACAGAACCTTCACGGGTCAACTTCGTGTCTCGGTCGATTGTGGTGTCTGGCGTTCACTGCTTCTGATCGTCTTCTCCGGGTCATCGTGACAGAACCTTCACGGGTCAACTTCGTGTCCCGGTCGATTGTGGCGTCCGGCGTTCACTGCTTCTGATCGTCTTCCCCGGGTCACCGTGACAGAAACTTCACGGGTCAACTTCGTGTCCTGGTCGATTGTGGTGTCCGGCATTCACTGCTTCTGATCGTCTTCTTCGGGTCATCGTGACAGAACCTTCACGAGTCAACATCGTGTCCCGGTCGATTGTGGCGTCCGGCGTTCACTGCTTCTGATCGTCTTCTCCGGGTCACCGTGACAGAATCTCCGCGAGTCAACTTCGTGTCCCGGTCGATTGTGGCGTCCGGCGAGGTCGCTCCCGGATGGACAGCAACTGCGAGCTGAGCCCGTGCAGCGTGCACCCGTCGGTGCTCTTCCTGCTCCTGACGCTGGTGCTGACGAGCTGCTCGACGTCGATGCTGAGCCTGGCGATCATGACGCACCACTGGGAGCACGTCCGCTGGGACGCCGGGCTCGTGGACCTCGTGGCGGAGAACCGCTCCGCCTCCGGGCTCCAGGTCTCCGTGGAGCGCTACATCGACGGCCTCGTCACCAAGGTCTCCGCCCGCGGCCTCCACCACCGGAGGCCTCTCCTCCACCTCCGCCACGCCGGCGACACGACCGCCTCCGTCTTCCTCGTCCCCATGAACGGCGGCATCTGGACGCTCTGCATTTCCCTCACAGGTGAGCACCACCGAGATATCTTTACATAAGGCAGATTTCTGGACAGTTCAGCTGTTGGCTTACCTACTATACTTTGTCCAGCGAGTTATGGCACTTCGTAAATTGGAATAAAAGGCACGATGTGGTGGTGGCGAGCCGCTATACCACCCTCGTCATCTGTCAATACGCCGAATCAGTCTCCCGTCGCACAATGGACCGCGGTGCGGCAGCTGTATTTTGGGAACAAATGAGTTGAAGGTTGACTTATTGACTTGATCTCCTTTAGGCGCTTTAAGCTTTCATCAGAGGCAATTAATTTTAACATGAGTTTTTAAACTGGCGATGATCGAAGAATCTTAGGACAGATATTTTTGATCGCTGATCAATACTGTCCACTGTGCGAAGGGGAAAAACTGGCCGCGTTTACAGGTGACGAGGGTGAGAGCGGCAACGCCGTTACTACGTCGTGTTGTGCCTTTTACTCCGATATACCAAGTGCCATAACTCGCTGAACAGAGTATACGTAGATGTTTCTTTTATTATTAATATTATGAGCTTGAAGCCCAGTCTAGTTTGGGTTAACTTTGACCTTCGTCGCTTGACCAACAGTCACCGCGCTTGGTTAGTGCACATCCATGATCCAGACTTCCAAATTTTTGGGGATTGAGACAGTGTGGAGTCTGTTTCTGCAATATCACACGTCCGTTTGTTGAGAATTCGACGCAACCATCGGGATTCGAACCCGAGTCCCACAGGCGCTAAATCAGACGCGCTGACCGCTAGGCCGACCTGGCCGGCTTGGGTGGATGATGAACAACGTGTTGGGTGCTCCATTTCGCAAACATACCGAAGTTTGGTAAATTCTGTTGGCTCATGACGTTACCCAAAGCTCATCATCCACCTAATAGGTAGGAGGTCAACAGCCGAAAAAAGGGCGACGACTGTTGCTCCCTTATAATAACAGCCCATATAATAAGGAAGTGTTGAATCCCCGAAAAAATGTTCCACCTGTCGCCAAGAGGTCAGTGGGGGNNNGGGGGGGGGGGGGGGGGGGGGTGGGTGGGTGTGTGTCTCTAAATCTCTATTTTGCACTAACAATCTAAAGAGGATACAAAGTAAAATTCGGGGCTCAACGCTAGTATTTGGTAAATGATGATCGATGAGCAACTTGTTCAGGAAAAATTAAATAAAATTCGCCTGACAATGACTAATGAATTTCGTGGTACTCAAGGGTGAGTTTTAGAGTATTTCATGGGGGCATCACGGAGAGATATCGGGACAGGAGAGGGGTTTATATCATCAGCGATTGCTTCGGCAAAGTCGATCACATTTGGTCGAATTTAATCCCACTGGCGCCGAGAACTTTTATTTCCCCTTATTACTTCCTGAGGAATAAATTAAGTCTTGAAAAAGACGCCAACACGAACTGACCGCACAGAATCAACCGAAAAACACTGGGATTCGGTGGCGCATGACCTACATCAAAACTCATCGCAGCGTTGCGTGCTGCCGGAAAATCACCCGGAGTTTCCACCATCCGCGAATTTACGGACTCGGGATGAAAAATTCCAAAAATTCGACAACACCGAGACCCTACTTCCGTCGCTCCCCGCCGACCGCGCCGCTTAAAAAAGCGCACCTTTCACACGCTGCAGGCTAAACAAATACACTCGAGTAAAATCCTCCAACGAAGTTGCCACGTCGAGGGAAGTTTTCGAAAGCAACCTCGAGAAAAGGGGGTAAAAAGTGTGAAATGAGAACTCACCATTCAAGATGAAAACAACACTTGGGTTACGAAAAAATTGCCTTTTTCGGGATATTCGGTTTTTCGAAACCTAGTAGATGTAGGAAAAACTGACGTTAGTTTTGGTTAAATGAGCAAAAAATAGCTGGGATATTAGCCCTACAGTACACCTGAAGGGGGGGGGGGGTTCAGTCATTGTGGATTGACGACGATCGAAAAAGCTCTTAAAACTTTCATAAGGTGCTATGTATCTGTGAGTGGGATGAGCCTAATTGTGAGCCATTCAATTTGGCCGGATAAATTTCTTTATTCCCCACAGCAGGGAGAATTCTAAGGTATGCAGTGGATAAACTCCTCTGTATTTTTGACTTGTAAGCGCTGACAGAATCTTCCTTGGAGAACACTGATTTTTTGATGAATTTCTACTTTTCTGGGCGATCTCGAACTGACCGCGAATATCAGACTAGATCATGTTCAGAATCGGTGCTAAGAATACTCCGAGGATCAGTTTTTAAAATACCCGACGACGCATTTTTTTCCCCTTTTTTTTTACCTGAGTCAGTAAAACGCGCTTAAGTGGGGTTTCTCTTCTAGGGTTTACCGGAAAAGTACATTAATGTCTAGAGTTCCCGAGAAAAATCTTCCGCACTGCTCTTTACTGCATTTCTAATTTTCGGATTCTTCTGCTTTGCTTTGGTTTTTCATGGATTTCTATTTCCTTAGACGTGGCAACTTCAAAGGTACTAAGTTCCTTTGTTTATCCATGAGCTTTGGAGGGGTAATTACTCGAACGTCCAAAAGGCAACGAATCGCCCGTAAGTCGAAGTCCTAACGAATGAAACTGGAACTCACGATCGGTTCTCCTTCAATTTGGCTGTGAGGCAATTTGAGCTACTCAGGAGTCGATAGTATTTTATCACGCCCGTTCAAGTCGAATCGGGTCGACACACTGCGCGCCTTCTTCAAGATTCAAGATTTAACAATGGTATATTTAAACACCCCGCGACAGTTAATAATCGGATCAAAATAATTACTGTCTACACGTGCCAAACATTTCCTGGCGTCACTTAGAAAAAAGAAATGCAGATTCCATACAACAAAAACTCCAGGATTACATTAAAACAATCCTCGATTAAGCATGTCAAAATTTTCCGACTTTTAAACGTTATTTTAGAGGAAAGAATTCATCAGTGAAAGAAGAAGAAAACAGGGCCCGGGATAGGAATCACATGTGCTCCTGCACCGTATGAGTAATAAGTAACCGAATGAGTAATAAGAGACGAGACGCACCTCCTCTTCATGAATCTTGCTGAAATGAATCATGCTGTCTTAAATTATTAAATTTTCTCCTCGTTTCCTAATATTTACCTTATTTGGAGATAAATTCCTTGTAAAAACTCGGGAGTTTTGCTTGATTTCTACCGAATTCTACGTGAAAAAAAAGTTGGACGAATTATGAATTTTTAAAGCACTGATTTTTTCCACTTAGGGGTACTTTTACAGCATCGAATCTTCAGTCTCAAGTTGGCGCAGATTTTTAGAGAGAAAACCTGGACGAAAACCAGAGTTTCCCTTTGTTTTCCTTTAGTTTCTACTTGGGGGGGGGGGGGGTAGCTTTTTCACCAGGGGTTCAAAGAAAAAAGTCTCGGATTTATACCACCTCCATACCATGGCAAAATTGCAAGTGTCTGGGATTTGATAAGTTTTATTTATGAGTGAAAACTACTGCGTGCACGGAGCACAAGAGTATACTCGGTTTGTAAATTGAACACTTTTTTGAGAGTTGTCACAAAACGACCCAATCTGATAAAATACATGAGTTTAAATGGGAAATGTCGCCTTAGGACGTCACAACTTTAACATTTTTCTGTTTTCTTCTTCGATGTCGCAAATCAGAAAGAATTGTAAAAAATTATGTAGAATATGTTTTATGAACACTTTCTTGAGAGGAAAAAAAAATTTTCTGGTACGAATTTTCCATTTCCTTGATATTTTTCGTGCCCCCGCGGCTAAGTTCCAGTATTTGCCGGTTTCCCCGGTCCTGGAAACCGTATTTTCCCAGCGTCGCGAGGCGGCAACTTGCGGGACCGCACGCCGCCGCCAGGAGACGAGGAGGTGCCGCACAGTGAAAAAAGCTAAATGAAGAGGTCGACATATGAAATTTTCGACTTAAAGTTCGAATTTCGACGTTTATTTCGTCACAAATTCAATTTTAAGGGGTGATTCCAAAAGAAAATTTCACGAAAAAACCAATGGAACCACTCTTCAGGGTGTCTACTTACTAAAACAGGCTGGCCAAAAATCAGTACTTTTACAGTACTTTTTCAGTACATAGCCAAGACTTTCAGTACCTCCTCAAAAGTAAAAATTCAATACTTTTTCAGTATATCCCATTAACAAAATCCGAAAATTTTCACAAATTTGAATTTCTCGCTCAAATTGCGACAAGAATGGCAACAAATTAAAAAAAAGGCCGGACCTTCTTGCTGAATATCCGCAGTTTTTCAGTACTCCCGGACCGCTCGTAAAAAATCAGCACTATTTCCGGACTTTCCGCTGCTCTCAGACTTTGTTTCATATTTAAGAAGATTCAAAGTTTCCAGATTTTGCCTGATTTCTATTGGCTTGGTCCAGTGTGCGGCGGGCCTCTGCCGGTCGAGGAGACGGGCCCGACTGAAAAGTTAGAAACAAATCCATAAATTGCCGAGTAAATGAACCCTCCGCGTTTACCCGACACGAATGAATAGTCGGCAGACGGGGATTACACCCCGGCAAACCGGGGTTGGAAAAACAGTGGGGGGGGGGCGAACCGTTCGGCATGGGCCAGGATCGATGGGTTGGGCGGGGGTGGGGGAAGGGATGATTACAGTCCGAAAAAGGAAACAAACATGGGACCGTTTGGACGGATGCCCGAATCCTGGTGAAACATGTGCTGTTGTTCATTATGCTGTTTCCTGGATTCGCGAGCTGTTCGGCCGAAATGAGGCCGATGCTGACGAACCTTCATAAAAAATACTGTCATTTTATTACCCGAGCGAGCAGTAGGCCCAAAAATGAAGTTTTGAGAGAAAATGGATCGATATAGTGCCGAGTCATTTTTACAGAACAATCCTGGTGAAACATTGAAACACAATATGTTTCAAAAATAACAAAAAAATATGTTCGACAGTTATTTTGAAAATATTATGAAGTTGCTATTATGCTGGGTTTCAACAGTAAGATATGGCGCTATCGTCCCTCTTTTTGTTATTTCATTCATTTATTCTAGATGAAGATT